AGAAATAATGATCTTTTGGCTTTGCAACACATAAACGCGATATCCCTTTACACCTGGAGGATATCCAAGAAATACCGCAGGCAAAGCTAGAGCTGAAAATTTATCCTGTTGAGAGTTTAATGTAGAAACAAAGCAAAGGCAACCAAAGGCTAGTAGCCTACTATAATCTGGTAGATGACCATGTAAGATTTCATAAGGAGATTTATTGCTCAGTGCAGGCGATGAAAGTCTGTTAATTAGATATGTTGCAATAAGTAAGCAATCACCCCAAAAATTGATTGGCACATTTGACTGAAAATACAAAGCACAAGCAACAACCAATAAATGTTGGTGATTCCTTTCAACAACAGAGTTTTGTTGGGGTGTTTCCACACATGAAAACTGATGCATTATGCCCAAGTTAGTAAACAAATTAGTGAATTTTAACTCAGGTGCATTATCAGACCTGAAAGATCTTATATCAATTTCAAATTGTTTTTTAATCATTGATATAAAAGCAGGTATAATGGTGTTGACATCAGATTTATGTTACAGCAAGTAGACCCAGGTAGATCTCGAGAAATCAAAAACCAAGGTTAGAAATAAAGCCTGTCCAGAATACGTTTTGTGCTTGTAGGGTCCCTATATATCACGGTGAACTAACTCAAACAACCGTGTAGTATGAGAACAAGAAACTGGAAATGGAAATCTTTATTGCTTGGCCAATGGACAAACTTGACAAGAGTCTTTCATTTTTTACATTCTTTAAAAGCAAAACATCTTTAAGAAGATGCATGACATGGAGACTGGGATGACCCAATCTGTTATGCCAGTCACTAGAAAAAATGCTAGAAACACTATTACATGAAATATTAGATCTGAATGAGGACATCTGCAGCAAGTAAAGTCCTTGAACCAGCTCACCCTTCCCAATCACTTGATGAAGGTTCTGAATTAAACAGTTCGTTTTGAAAAACAACACACTAAGATTAGAGAATTTCAATAATGCACTGATTGAGAGCAAATTGAATTGAAAGTTTGGAACAAATAGCACATCATGTAAGACAAAGTCAGATGAAAATCGAACTGTGTCTGCAAAGCTTACTGGGATGATGGATCCATTAGGTAAGGTGATTGAACAACTCGTTATAGGAAATAATAATTCAAAATTATTTCTTGAATGACATATATGTCTTGAAGCTCCCGAGTCTAAAATCCAGTAGTAAGATATTCCAACACCAGAAGCAGTTATGTGTGATATGATCTTACCTTGCATGGCAGTATTGATCGAAGTGGTAGGGATATCCAAAGATGATACGGATTGTAACTGGGAAGTGAGCATGGTGATCAATTGTTGACACTTCTCAGGAGTGAAGGTTTCACCGACAACAGGAAAACTTTGCTGAGAAACAACAGAGTTGGTATGAATAACTTGAGAGCTTTTACCACGAAAAGGGTTCGAAGAGGACCAATTCTTGGAATTGTAATCAGGTGGATAACTAATCAACTTGTAACACCTGTCTTTTGTATGACCAAGGAGGTTGTAATGACTGCACAAGGGTCTGTTCGTGCGAGCATTAGTGCCAGAATGAGTCTTGACAGCAAAGGTAGGCTCAGAAATAGGGTGAAGAGATTGTACATTTCTTTGATTCTCTTCTTGAACAATTAAATAGAAGACTTTTGAAATGGGAGGAAGAGGATCCATTAACAGTATATGTCCCCTTATATGATCATAAGACTCATTTAACCCCATTAAGAATTGAATTACTTGTTCTTGCTGCTGTTCAGCAAGCATGCGTTGCACTCCTCCACAATTACATTGGAGACAACTGCATAGCTGTCGAATTGAAAACAGTTCATCCCAAACAATTTTCAACTAAGTATAATAATTGTTTACTGACAATTTATCTTGCACGAGTTCGCATAATCATTTCTTTAAGTGAAACAAACGTGGTCCATTCGACTGCTGGAAATTATCAACCAAATCTTTCCACATTTCAGCAACAATTGTATGATATAGTAAGCTTGTAGCAATGTCTTTGGAGACTGAATTGAGAAGTCAAGAATTGACCAAATTGTTGGCTCTTGTCCAAGCATTAAACTGGTTTACCATAGAAGGGTCAGGAGCTTGAATGGAGCCATCAACGAATCCAAGCTTGTTTTTGGCAGATAAGGCAAGCATCATCGACCCTTTCCAGCTGTGAAAATTATCATTAGAGAGCAACTGGCTCACCAATATCATGCCAAGATTGTCAGACTTATGCAAGTAATAGGGATTTGTCTTATTGTCGAAACTGGCGTTCAATGATTCAACCACGATGAAACGTGAGAAGAAAGAAAGAAACTTCTGATACCATATAACATTCAAGAAAGCTGTAAATGAATAATGCTTTCTTGCATTAAAGAAGGATTACAAAGCTGGTTTATATACAACTATAATTTTAACTAACTAACCGAATTACAACTGCTAACTAATAAACTGACTTGAACTAACTAGTAACAAACTAACTAATTATACGAGTTAATGCAAGCTGATATACTCTAATATGTTTATTAATCCAGGATGCTTATAAGCGGTAGTATCTATTTTAAAAACTCAAAACCATAAACTCAAATATCATGTAATCTCTGGTGCTTGAACCTGAGATATTTAGAAATAAAAATCATTCCTTTAACCGTTGAGATAACTTGGTTCGTGCATATAGGGATGTAAATGAGACGAGATAGATCCCGAGCTACTCGAGATCGACTTGGTCAAAGCTCGATAAATACTCTATTTGAATGGACTCGACTTAAGCTCAAGCTTGCCTCAAGTTCTTAACGAACCGAAACGAGCTACTTGATGCTCGACTTTAAAAGCTAGTGAGCTACTCGAAAATATAATATATTTAGATTTTATCTTTTAAAAAATAAATTATTAAGAATATTAACATTTATGTGTTGAGTTTTTTGAAAAATGTAATATAAGGATTTCATGTATTTAAGGTTCATATTCGAGTTTGATACCTCAATCAAGTCAAGTTTAATTTTTTTTTTTCATTTCGGGCTTTTACGAGCTTTAGTTCATGATTTCAAATTCGAGTCGACCTTGAAAATTTTAGGCTCCCAAGTTTTTGAGTCGAATCGAGCTCCATTTAAGAGTATTCGAGTCAAGTCAAGCTCAGCAATACTCGAACTCGGCTCAACTCATTTATATTTGTGTTATTTTTATATGTATCGATAAATCAACAATTTTAAACCCCTCTAATAATATGAAACGATACTCAATTTCAATAAAAATCCCTCTAGAAGATCCACTTAGCGGGCCATTAGGGTCAAGGTGAGTGTGATTAATTAGCCAAATAATTCTCAATATTTTATTGGCTAATCACCCTTCAATCCAATATCCCCGTTTTCTTCTTCAAACTCATAATTCAAAATCTAATAAAGCTTTGCTTAACATGAGAGTACCAACCATATTAAGAAAATAAAAGAGCCTTTGCTTAGGATTCTTGGCCCACCATTGAAATTATTTACTTGGGGAGACAAGAAAGTCAATTTGAGTGGGCTCTAACCATCCTTCCAAAAGGTGAAAAAGGAAGTGGAGTGGGCTCTATTATCTCTCATAATATTTGATAATATTTGATATTAATGGGATAAGACGTTAAATCTCGTAACTAAATAAGATTTACTATTAAAGAGTAGCACTAGTTGACATAAATTAACATATTCTCTCTGGATGACCCGAGTTTAAACAGTATTAATACATACGATCGCTCCATTCGAGACTCGGCATCCTTTTTCAGCTTAGATTCGAACTCCTTTGCCGCCTGCAAAATTTAGAGACCAAGTTTAGAACTTATCAACACCACGTAGAATTAGAAACTGTATTGCTTGGAAACATGTTGACAACATCAACATGTAAGAAAACCCCCTTTCAGTGATTGTCAAGGAACCTGTGTAACAACAGTACAAGTTAAATAATGTCTTTAGCCATGTATTACTCGGTAATATTTATAACATCAGACACTGAGATCGTTAAAAAAAGTAGTTTAGGTATTTATTCGTGAAATGCGCTATAATTTGGGAACTTATTTTATAATTAAGCCTCTGTGTAATCTTCTTCCAGTTCTGAATTCAAAGTGTCAAACAGAAAAAATCTTGAAGTGCTACCATAGCAATTTATTCAAGTGCATCAATAGTAACACTCAATGCATTGGACAATCAGAACACAATTCATGAAGGAAAACTAGAGTTATTTTCTATGCTCTCTTAGCTAAATTATCTGTTCAAATTTGAATCAAAAAAAAAAAAAGCAATTAAAAGTCGTCTAATTGCTCATGATTGAGTTGGTCACCCAATTAAACAGCACACCAGAGTAAGAAAAAGTCCTAAAATTTTCATTTATATCCTAAGATTCCTCATGGACAATGCCAAAGCCACCATTTTTACATCCCAAAGAAACCTTTTTTATCCTTCTAAATCTTGATCCTTTCCATTTTGTATCTGTCATCCCAAGCTAAACCCAGATAAGGAAATGAAAAAACATGTAGGAAACTCTCGACAGTTTTATCAAGGCTCTTCCCTATTTCAGGCAACTTCTTTGGTCCAAACACAAGGGCAGCCACTCCAGCAATAACAGCAAGTTCAGGCACACCAAGGCCAAACAAAGCGTTGCAAGTAAGACCCTTTTTAGCAGGTTCAGCTCTTGTCTTCCTCCTAGGTTGAACAATGACAAAAAACCAATTTGTTTTGAGATTTGGTTTTGTTCAGCAAAGAAACAGTGTTACTGCTGGTGACAAAATTGGACCAGGAAGAAGAAAAAGAAGCGTAGATGATGGGAATCTTGAGGGAGAGAGAGTTGTAGAAGCAACCTCCATGGTACAAGCCTAGATTTGGTTACAAGTGTTTTATATTTGTGGATGAAGATAGTATTTGTTAGTAGTATTTTATTTTGGTCGTAAACTCTATGCCAACAACTTACTTCTATGGGCACATGCAGTCACTGCCAATGTTCAAGTCCATACTTTACAGCGGGGCAGAATCCTACTGATACTACCATGGTTTGTGTTCTTTCAGCTTGTTCTCAATCGGGAGAGCTTTACAGCGGGGATTGTGTTAATGGTTTTATAGAGAAGACAATTTGTAGGCCTGAGGGTGATGTTTTTATTGGAACTGGTCTTGTTGACATGTATGCAAAATGTGGGCACATTGATAGTGCTTTATGTACTTTTAGGCTAATGAGTGTGAAAAATGTTCTGACTTGGACTGCCATGGGAGCTGGCTTAGCTCTTCATGGGAGAGGAAAAGAAGCATTGGAGCTGTTGGATGCAATGGGGGATTTCGGTATTAAACCTAATCCGGTGACTTTCACTAGCTTGCTTTCTGCTTGCTGTCATGCAGGGCTTGTTGAAGAGGGACTTAAGTTGTTTCACAATACGAGGAACACGATCGGTATCGAGCCTCATATACAACATTATGGCTGCATTGCTGATCTACTCGGCAGGGCCGGATATATAAACGAAGCCAACGATTTCATCATAGAGATGCCAATCAGACCTGATGCCATATTGTGGCGGAGTTCATTAAGCGCGTGTAATGTTCATGGAGATCTTGCAATGGCTGAGAAGGTAGGGAAGATTCTGCTCCAACTCGAGCCACCAAAGAATTCTCTACATGTGCCTGTTACCGGTGAAGATTATATTGCTTTATCAAATGTTTATGCTTCTGCCGGAAGGTGGCGACAAGTGGAGATGGTACGAAAGAAAATGAAATCAAAGAGGGTAGAAACCAAACCCGGTGGTAGTTTCATACAGACCATCGGCTAATCAACTTGATCAACTAATTGATTATGGCATACAAGTTTTTGAAGATGCAGAAAAGGCCTCCCAGTAGATCACATTCTTCTTCTTTCTTTTTCATGTCTCTCTCTCGGGTAATAAACATCAGGATTATGGCATACAAGTTTTTGAAGATGCAGAAAAGGCCTCCCAGTAGATCACAAGGAATTAAAAGGATAAACCAGAAAGCACATTAGTAAAAAAGGTTTAATCAAGCAGTTGCCATTACTGCATAATTAAACAAAAGAATAACATTGTTTCCAGTAGTTAAACCAGAAATTATAGCACAGTTTAGCCGAATTCCAAGACATTCTTTAGTAACTCTCTTTGGACTCTGCTCATGTGCCTTGCTCCTATTGCTTCCCGTTCGACTGGGATCCACGAGGGCTTACGCCTCCACGGATCCGCTTTTGCAGATGTTCCAAGCTAGCCACTCGCTGCAAAGAAGCTGTCTGTCCAATTTTGTTTCCTGTTACCGCTGATCCTCCGGAATCTGTTTGTATGTTTTCAACTGAAGAAATATCTGTGCATGCATTGTTTATTCTCGGGTCATGAGTGGATATACGATAGTCTGCAGCAGCCCGATAAAAGGTATGCTTTGGACCGCCTTGCACTGGATCAGCGACAACTGATGTATCAGACGGACTTCCATCAAACGACGAGACGCACATTGTCAATATCTCAGGTGAGGCATGGAACAGATGGTTCAAACCAGTAGTTCTTCTGACAGCCTCTTCAGCCAGTTTTACCTATACAAGGAATTCACCAACGGGCATATTAAGTCCGCAACCTAAAAGAAACTTGGACTCCAAGGCATATACATCAATGAGTAACTTACCTTGGCTCTCAATGTTTCTAAATCAGCTTTCAAAACTCTGTTGTCAACAGCTGCTTCATTTTGCTTTTGGCTAATGTCAGTCAAACGCTTCAACAAGTTTGCATTTTCAACTTTTAGTTGAGCAACCTGCAATCAATAATGGATTCGGATATTCGTAACTCGAAAAAATGGAAACGAGACACAGAGGAAAAACAAAACACAAGAGGTAGGGTAAAGCAATAGACCTGTGTCTCAAGTTCTGTCAAATGAGCCTGCTTTCTTTGTCTAGACCGCCTAGCCGACTCTCAATTCGAAAGCATCCTGAACCACCACCAAAAGGATAATCGGTGGGAATAGAACACAACCACTGAATATCAGCAAATTAGAAGAAAAACCGATCGTTACCTTCTTACGCGTTTTGCATCCGCAGGATCCATGTTCTCCATTGTCCCATTTTCTCCTTCAACTTCATCATCTTCCGACTGTTCTATCAACGATCCGGTACTTGTACTCGGCCTCACCTGAGCTCCAAGTTTCTTCTGTCCATTCTGAAAAGAAGAAATTCCAACCACTGAACCATCATCCTTGTCACCGGCTCCTATATATTCAGTAAAACAGCAGTATACTACATAAAATGCATTACTTCGAAAACTCGAATTCACAAGCCACTATGATTCTAAACCTTTGGAAACAGTTTTGGATCCCAATTGTGCAGTATTAGATGCCTGTGATCCACTGTCGGCTCTACCAGCAACAGCGTCTTGTGGTGTTACAATAGATGCCTGTTTGAAATGTACGAAACATAGTCAGTCGAACGATTTACGAGCGAAAACGATTCACATAACTTCAAACTGGGGACAAAGCAACATGAAAGATGCACCGGACATATGCACAGAAGATTAAAAAACCAGAACCATGAGCATGGTTGATTCCAAGTTGGAGAAAACAGTGACATCTAGAACCAAAATGAAACGAATGACCCAGACGCGCATGCATCGGCTTTCGGCTCATCAAATAAAAACTTATCAGACACAAGAAATCAACAGAAGTTCTTGAAAATGTTAACAGTTTCCAGTTAGTTAATGGTACTCATGAGGAATAATGCAAGCCATGCACAGGCACAGCCCATACTTGATTAATGTCCAGCTTTTCTCTGTCGTACAAGGTGTATTTTATAATATTTGATTTGAATTAATCTATCAATAAATGCAATACAAATGACTATACCAAAAATAATATTAGTTCAACCAAATTGGAAAATTTGTTTCAATTTGGCAATGGCAATTTCCAAATTCAAGATGGAAAGCAAATCCAGTAACCAATCGCAGCATAAATATAAAAAAAAATGAAGGAAAAAAACTTCTATTAATACTAAAATAAATTTTTTCAATGATTTACTGATACTAAGGGGCCATAAACAATACAAATAACCAGTTTAACTGAACTAATTAATAATGAATAAAATTTAAAACAAAACCTTGACTCTTGTTGGAAGCGTAGATGAACACTCAATAATTTATTACTCGAACTATTATTGATACGAAGCAAAATACGTTACAACGACCTTACCCCAATATTACAATACTAGTTGCGGCTAGTTTACAAACTTCTTAAAGCTTTGCTAAGCTCTCTCTCAAATCTCTCTAATTTTTTCTTTCACTCGTATTTTTTTTCCTTACATTGCATGTATAACTAAGCTTAGGATACACACATATATATAGGTATAATAAACCGTCTCATATGCTTTTACAATCTTCTTGTTTCCTTGAATTTGCTTGTTTAGGTTTGCTTTTCCTTTTCATGTTTGCCGTGTAAATTCCTTGTTTGCTGCCCACTCATATTATAATATTATTAGCTTAATTTCTAAGTAATTCATGAAGTTTCCCATCCATGGTTGCTTGTCACATTTTTCCACATTGCCAAGTGTTTGCCTCCATGTTTAACTTTCATATTTTATTTCCCATTTTCTTTGTGAATGTCACCTATCAATCTTGCCGACATTTTAGAAATCTAGTTTGATTTCTAACACTCCCCCTCAAACTTGATTTTTCATTCCGAGCTTTTCTTTGAGTCGGTTGAAGATATCTGCTCTCGTATAAAGTGATACTTTGTATCGATTTGCTTGCTTTGGCAATGGGAGACTTGATTCTTGGCAAGGGAAATTATAGACTTCTTGTCGACATAAATTGTAGTTGGTTCTCGTTTTGCCAAATTTAGCTCGTTCAAAATATTTTTTAACCACATTGCTTGGCAAGTGCACGCTACTGCGGCTATGTATTCTGCTTCACATATTGAAAGAGCTACCGTTTGTTGCTTCTTTGATAACCATGAAAATGCTGCAGAGCCGATATGAAATAGATATCCAGATGTGCTTTTTCGATCATCTAAGTCTCCCCCATAATTTACTATCAGAATAATCAACCAACTTCGAATTTTCTAAATGCGTGTAGAACAAACCATGATCTGTTGTACCTTTGACATATCTCAGGATTCTTTTTGCTGCAATCCAATGATCTAATTTCAGATTCTCCATGAATCTGCTTACCAATCCCACAACGTATGTTATGTCTGGTCATGTGATAGTCAGATACTTTAGACTTCCAACTATGCTTTTAAACAACGTCGGATTCACTTGCTCTTTTGTTAAATTCACACTTAATTTGATGTATGGTTCTGCTGGTGTGGCTACCAGCTTGCAATCTTCCATTCTAAATTTTCTTAAAAAAATTTATGCATACTTCTTTTTTGATATAAATATTCCTTCTTGCATTTGCTTCACTTCAACTCCAAGGAAGTATGACATTTCTTCAATATTTGTCATTTCAAATTCTTTAGTCATAGCTTTCTTAAAATCATTGAACATACATGGATTATTTCCTGTGAAAATCATGTCGTCCACATATAAGCACACGATCATGATATCATCGTCTTCATTTTTTTGTGTGTATAAGCCATGCTCGTATGGACTCTTCATGAACCCATTTCTCTGAAAATATTCATCAATTCTCGTGTTCCATGCTCTCGGGGCTTGCTTCAGACCATATAAAGTTTTTTTAAAATTGGTAAACTTTATCCTCATGTCCCTTTTTAATGTATCCAGGTGGTTGCTCAATATAAACTTCTTCTAGGTAGCCATTTAGAAATGTTGACTTCACATCCATTTGATAAATTTTTCATCCTTTTTGTGCTGCAACTGATGTGAGAAGTCTGACGGTCTCGATCTTTGCTACTGGAGCAAATACTTTATCATAGTCTATTCCTTGTCTTTGCTTATAGCCTTTGACAACTAGTCTCGCTTTGTGTTTCTCGACCTTTCCTTCTTTATTGGTCTTAGTCTTGTAAACCCATTTTACTCCAATTGGGTTATGACCTTCTGGTTGTCTTGTTAGTTCCCATTTATCATTTCTTTCTATTGATGCAATCTCTTCATCCATTGCACTCTTTCATTTTTCATCTTCAACCGCTTCTTCGTATGTTATTGGATCACTATTCACAAGTAAGCAGAAAAGTGAAACATTATTTAATTCATAATCGTTATACCTTTCTGGTATTCTTCTCTCTCTAGTGGATCTTCAAACTTCTGTGGGAGGTGCTTCAGAATTTTCTATTATGTTGCTAACATCGCTGCTGCTGCTTGACGACGATGGTATATTTTGTTAAGGACTTTGATCATCAGCTTGTTCATCTTGATTGATAAGATCATCATCTTTATATTTATCTTCATTAAAAAATAGTCCTTCAACTTTCTTTTCTTCTTTGCTCCATCTCCAATATTCTGCTTAATCGAACTCGACATTTCTTGAAATTACCACTTGTTAGAAGCGTAGGTGGGCTTTTGATAATTTATATAACCCGAAATATTATTGATACGAGGCAAAATACGTTACAACAACGTTACCCCAATATTACAATACTACAATAGTATAACACTAACTGCGGCTCGTTTACAAACACAACCTCGTTATTCTAAGCTTTGCTAAGCTTTACTCAATTCTCTCTAGCTTTTCTAAGCTTTCACTCATATTCCATCTCACTTGTATTACATATACAAACTAAAGGCTAAGCACATATATATAACCTTGTTTAACCGTCATATTTGCCGCCTTAAAATTTCCTTAGTAATTAAGCAAATCATAAGTAAGTGCCACGTATAAGTTTTGTTGTCATTCACTTGCTTCCTTCATGTAATTACCAACGTTGCCTTCATTTCAATTCTCCAAGTGTGGTTGCCGACACTAATATACTTAATAATTAAGCATGCACTTTACTACAGAGGATATGCCACATTTTCATGCATATATTAATAAGCATGCTTGTTGCCATTAATTCCTCCAAGTGGGTCATATTCATGCACTTCTAGCCACCTTTTCTTGACTTTTCAACTTTTAGAAATCAAGTTTGATTCCTCCCCTCAAACTTGATTTTCCATTTCAAGTTTTTCTCCACTTATCTTCTCCAATTGATTCTTCATTTGTTATGAGATCACTCTTTGCAAAGAGACTAAATAGTGAAACATTATTTAATTCATAATCGTTGTACCTTTCTGGTATTCTTCTCTCTCTTGTGGATCTTCGAACTTCTATGGGAGGTGCTTCATAATTTTCTATTATATTGTTAGAATCGCTGCTGCTGCTGCTTGACGACAATGGTACATTTTGTTAAGTAGTTTGATCATTAGTTTGTTCATCTTGATTGATAAGATCGCCATCTTTATCTTTATCTTCATTAAAAAATAGTCCTTTAACTTTCTTTTCCCCTTTGCTCCATCTCCAATATTCTGCTTCATCGAACTCGACATCTCTTGAAATTATTATCTTCTTGATAAGAGGATTATATAACCTGTAAGCTTTGTTTCTTTCATCATAGCCAATGAAAATATATTTTTCTCCTCTGTCATCAAGCTTCTTTCTAATCTGTTCAGGTATGCGATGCACCCAAAAATCTTAAGGTGTCCAACTCCTGGTTTCTGACCACTCTATGCTTCGTTTGGCGTCATATACTTCACACTTTTTGTTGGACATCGGTTCAATAAGTAAACTGCACATCAAACTGCTTCAGCCCAGAAATATCTTGGTAGTTGCTTACCTTTTATCATGCTTCTTGCAATGTCAAGAATTGTGCAGTT